TTTTTTCGGCCAAAACCTTTAAATAACAATTTTTATTACTAAAACAATTGTTTCACACTAAAAAATAATAAAAATTATTTGCGAATATTTTTTTTTAATTTACTAAGAGCTGACGTTTTACGTTTTTTGACAATTTTGTTCATTATGTCCAATATCATCAGAGTGGCCATTGTGTCCAATTTAACAAAAAATGCATTGAACATTTTTCCGGACTTGTTTTTTATAAGGGTGTATGTAAAAATGTTTTTATTTTTTTTTAATCATATATGGTGTCCCAGAATGCATAAGCACACTTTCAACTTGCCGCAATTTCTACCCGATGAAGCATATCAGCTGTTCAATGATATGTGTTGTTGTTGTTGTTTATTTATTGTTCATGAAGTTTGTATGCGCAAAGTGCATTTTTTTTAAATATTCATCAAAATGCGAGGCATTCCCCGGAAAAAAAACGCAAACAGATTGTGCACAAATGGTACTCTATTCCCAACCTATCAGTAAGGAACTTGGCGAAAATAGAGGAAGTAAGTATCAGAGTAGTCTTAACCGCTATCCGGAAGTTTGAGGAAGAAGATACCTTTAAGGACACATTGAAATCTGGCCGTAAACTGGGACCGGTGGATTGACAACTGGACCAGAAGATTACCCAAGCTTCTTCAATAAGAAAAGTGCCTCTGTTCGAGATTTGGCCAAAAAAACTGAGAACTTCGAAGAGTAACATCCAAAGTGTCAAGACAAGAAGCGGGCTGAAAACGTTCAAGAAGCAGAAAATGCTGAAACGCAGTCAGAAATAAGCCGTATCCGTCAAACCGAGGGCTCGTAAGCTATATGATAGCCTGCTGCGTGGAAATTTGACGTGTTACCATGAACCAATACTACACAGTCAGTGATGGTCAGAAAGTTGACGATAAGTCAATTCTTACCAACAAATTTGGTAATAAGGCCATTGTTTGGCATGCGATATGTGAGTGTGGCTAGTTGTCAAAGCCATTGGTGACAAAGGAGACGATGAACACTGAAATTTACGTTCGGGAGTGTTTGAATCCGCGTCTGCGGCCTATGATGGCCCAGTACTATTTTGGGCTGATTTGGCGTCAATGCGCTACTCGAAAGAAACGGTAGCTTGGTACAAAGCAAACAATGTGCAATACGTGCCAAAAGAGATGAATCCTCCGAATTGTCCGGAGGCCCGGTCAATCGAAGCTTTTTTGGTCCTTTCCAAGGGATATCTGCGGAAACACTGTAAGGCAGCTAATTCAATCGAAGAATTTGAAAAAGACTGGACAATAGTGGCCAAAATTATCGCCAAGGAATCTATGCTCAAGTTCATGGGCAGCCTCAAAACAAAGGTTCTCTCCTTAGCATACGATTAAAGGAACTGAGAAATTGTTTTCATCCAATTGAAAGAGAATACTATAGAAAACATATATATGAAATAAAAATTTGAGTTCATTATCATAACGTTGTTTTACTCCAATAATAAAATGTGCTTATAGTCTTTATTATAAATCATATATAGTCATATATGGAATCTGAGAGTGTACTGCCAACCACTGGTCGAGTTGGTTCGAAATGCATCTTGGGTATATTGGACAACATCAAAGCTCCTCTTTCGTATGAGTCTAGTATTTAAATGTTCTATCGGAGGGTCTAGAACCGTCGGACGGGGCATCTTTTTAAACAAGTTCGTTTGAAATAAATAAAGTAGATACTAATAGGATATGATGTATATCCAATAGGAATAGGAATATTGTAGAAAATGTTCGCCATCCGCAGTCCGAAAGGTTAACTGAGGGGCTACTTTGAACAAGTGATAAATTCTTATCTGCTAAATGGATAAGGACAACATTAATCGACATCCTAAACTCCACCCAAAAAATAACAACATCAGATCAGTCAAATTGTTGGTTTGACAGAAATGGCAAAAATCATTAATTGGTATGATGCAGATTTAATATGGAGAAACATCAACTCTCCTTCCTTTTCCTGGCCATATCATTGCTATAAACAATTGTCACGTGAAATATCCTGCACCATCTGGTATTACGAATGCATATCGACTCCCGAGAGGAGCTTGTGAATGTTTTTACAGGTTTAAACAACGATTTGGGTCAATTTTTTGAGTAAGTACACTTTTTATAAAACTCGTTGGTAAGTAAGCTTTTCAACATAATTCTAAGAAGTGCCTTATGATATTTGCTGTGCATTTTATTCGTTCGAGTATTCTGCAGTCCCAGTAGCAAATTGTGGATGAACATTCAATCGATTCTTTAATCTACTTCATTTGGTTCCACAAATTTTAATGTGTCCAAAGTAGCTCCACACGACGGTATATTTTTTATCTTATATTTCTCGCGCAACACGAGAAAACGGCCTATCATTGTTGATCGATTCTCTTCATAGATTTTCTCTTTCGCGAATAACCCAACTGCAAATGAATTTCCCATTCAGTGTGTAGATTCAGGCGCAAGCTAACATCATCTTCTGTCGAACTGTGCTGCGAGTTTAGCGAGAAATTCGTTTATGTAGCCGTGGTGAACCAAAGAGAATGTCGATGAAGAGAATCGATCAACAATGATAGGCCCTTTTCAAATGTTACGCGAGATTTAACGTAAATCTTGAACGTGACATAATATTTATTAATAAAACTATAGACTAGACTATAAATTTTTAAAGTGTGACAGAAAAAAACTGTTTTTGTTTGACGTAAAAGGTTTTCCTTTTTGTTTTGATTGAAACGTTTGAAGTGAAATTTCTGACTAAAGCACAATATTTTGAATTATAACATTTTGCAAAAAAAAAAATATGGTTTCAACACCAAAAATGACGAAAGAATTTTCTTGTTTAACCGCTGATTTCAAATTTGGGACTGTACAACATTTATTAGACAGGATGTTGTTCTCATGACCAGTTAAACCACCTCTCAGGCCCTCATAAAAATCACATATGTATGTTATGGAAAAAGCATTCTTCACTGAAAATTTCAAATTATTTGGTATAGTAGTTAATAAATTACAGATGTTTATGTGTGTGTCATTTTCCACCAATACACCCTTTACCATGAAATGGAACAGAGTACATCCCTGTGCTTTTACCACTTTCTGTTCAATTAACGGATCGATCAATGCTTTAAAAGTTCTTGCTACAGGTTCCTTCGGGGGCATTTCGTAGTTCCTAGAGTGGGCAATGTGGTAAATGATCCATTTAAGGTTCACGGAAAGCTTATTATTTAAAAAATATGAAGAAAGAGCTGTCGCATGGCATGTTTTGGTGTTATTGGTCCCTGCTACAGGATCTCCCGGGGCATCCCGGTGGTTCCAAGAGTGGCCACATAAAACTTGCCAATTCAGAGTGTCACATTTAGAGATTTTATGATTCGTGAGTGTTAACTCAGATGGAGCGCTCACGAATCGTAAAATCGCTGGTTGTGACGCTCTGAAAGCAATGTTGACATATTTTATGTGTCAAACACATAATTCACAACCTCTTTTTGTTACTTACAGCTACTGATTATTATTATAACACCTAATGATTTCCTAATTCAAATGAACTTTTTTTTTATAGCAGGTGAGTGGAAAGAAGCCTGTCCTCACATAACCTTGATGGAAAAGAACAGAATAATCGTTTGGCTAAAATTTCATTTAGCTATGATTGATTCTCTAATTTGATGTTTTATTGTCATGGTTTAAACTTTAAAAAAAAAATGCTGATCATATCATATGGATACAGAAGTCAGCAATATGTAAATGAAACATGGGTCTAAGTTTTGATATTATTCCTTGAAATGTGGGGGCCTAAGGCCAAGCCCCCAAGTACATTCGGACCTGCCTACTCTTACATCCCGCATTAGATCCCATTTACCCCCTGCCACCTAAAGCGGAAGGGCAGCCAGTCGTCTATTTTCCCATCAAGTTCCGGAGCAAACTTTTCAATTGTTCTCAACTAACGACAAGCAAATTTTCCCTGCGGTCGAAGGCGCGTGGCGCTAGGCAGCATCCGGTTCGTTTTAATGGACATCAACTTTTAATTGTGCACCATTCCGAACAAGATCCTCTCGAGACTTTGTGTAGGTACTTGCTACTAGAGCACAGGTAGTGGCAAGGTACTACACTCAGTGCAACAGCCTCGATGTTTTCGTTCAGTTTTGGTATGCTACGGCTCGGTTTGCAATCAGGAGAAAGGAAAATTATTTTTCCTCGAGTGGCTTTAATTTGAGTTTTCCTTAATTAAGTTGAAATTAGTACAGTGACACTGAGGCAATAGACGTTCTTAGTGAGTGTGTGTGTTTACGCAGCGGCTGTCCGTGAGGGTGATTGTGCTTTTCGCTCGCCAAGAGTCGAGAGAAAAGAGATGCAGAAACTGAAGAAAGGACTGATTTTGATTGAATGGAACTCGGAAATTAGTGTAGGCATGAAACGAAACAACTGAAACACAAGACACAACCGAGGAAAACAGCAAAAAAGCGCAACAATTAAAGGGAAACAATAACCAAAGAATCAGATGAAAATATCGGGTGAGATTGTGCACGACCGTTGACTCTAACTCATATTTGAGATCCGTTTACTCAAATTCGCAAAAACGTAGACAGAGTGAATTTTTACTCAAATATGAGTAAATGGCACTTACATATGAGAAAGTGTCACTCAAATGTGAGTGACATTTACTTATATTTGAGTAAAATTTTACTCAGTGATCTAGGTTTTTGCGAATTTAAGTAAACGTATCTTAAATACGAGTTAGATTCAACGGCCGTGTGATCCGAAGCCGAGAAAAAACAACGTGAAATGAGATGATAGAGGAAACAAGGGAGGGCATGGAACTTAATTACTCTGTTTTTCTTTTTGTTGTGGCTATTGTATTGGGAGGGTTTGCTTTGTTTCTAAAAAGTTATTTTTTTTATTCTTCTTTCCCTGGTTGAGCTGTTGGTTTTGTTGATCTTGCTAATTTGGGTGTTCTTTTCTTTATCTTTGGGTGACGGTGCTCTTTTGAGGGATGCAACTTACCACTGTTGGCACTTGGCCGGGTAGCACTGGCTGTCCAGGTGAGATGCCCATCTGCTGCATTATGGCGTTTTTCAGGGCCAGATGATTCCTTCCGTTTATCAGCAGTTGATCTTTGAGATGTTGAGGAGGGTGAAAGTATTTACACGGTGGTTTTTCACGATTACAACGACCCTGTGAAAAGAGAAGAGAAAACTATTTGTTAGTATCAGTTTTACCTATACAATAGTACACAAAATTCAGTAGGCCACTTGTTGCAATTAGAACACTTCTTTAGGCATCCATACCCTCCCAATTTGGCATAGTTATAATCCGTCCTGCCAAACGGGGCCTTGTGAGGATAATAAAGGTCCGATTTATGGACTCTGATGTCCTCCAAATAGCCGTAAGCTGTTTTCGGCTCGTTCCTGTACGATCCTACGGAATGAGTTTAGATCTCAGGTTTCGATAGTGAAGTACACGACGCAGCAGCTGCCTTGGTACCATTCGTTGGGCGAATTGATGTTCAGCTCTCGGAGTGGGCTTCACTGATTTATGCCAAAGATAAGTGACAATTTCGGGCTTATCCTCCACATTCGGTTTGGGGCGAAAATATGTATGTTTACAGGCATCCTGTACAATTGTTGCTAAGTATAGCTCTTGCCAGCTACCAAACAAATGGAGCCAAGCTAATCCGGGCTCTCTAGTGGAAGCAGAATTTATTATTTTTTCCATCCCTTATCAGATTTCCTTGGCATGTTCTGCACCTCCGTATAACGTGTGTGCCTAGTGCTAGATGCTCGCTTTTGCTGAATCTAAAAGTACTGAGTCCAATTCCGTTTGGTTCGAACTTAATGATTCCCCTCATCTTCTTCCCCTTCAGACTATTTGGCAAACTGAAGAAAGTGGTTCCGTGTTATCAGAGCAGCAGAGATGCACAAACACACATGCCTACCCGCAACCGATTGAAAGTGAAAAAGCACGTCGGAGCAAACAATTTTCCAGCTGAATCAATAATACTGCTCAATTAACTTAGTTACATCCAATTAAAGTTTAAAATTTAATTGCTCAAATCTCCTATAGACACTGTGTGTATGGGTGACTTCGTAAGCATAGCACTGTTTGGGCTTGTGTTTCGATGTGATTATATATCGGCAAAACTGATTCTAGTGAAGGTTGAAGCCATATCCTTAGAAATGCGGAAGCAAAAGTTTATCAATTTTCCTTTATGGCTCTATACCTCAGTGTCGTTGTTGTTGGTGGTACGTGTCTACAGTAGATATGGGTTAATGTACGTTTGATTCCGATGAACTTTCGATAAACGGATGAAGGGCTGGAAAAGTATTACTATGAATTAAAGAGCTTTTTGTTCGTTTGGGTTCTTGGTGGTTTAATTTATTCAGGAGCCTAGGGTCTTAAGCTTGATGTGACTTTAATGGTATTTTTAACTAGATTTTTCTCTCGCTCTCTTTCGCTCTCGCTACATGACTTTGAAGCTCTTAAACGAGTTTTCGCTTACTCTCAACTTAGTGTTCTTGAAGCACTTTCACAGTTATCATGGAGAGATTTATATGCCAACCAAAGCATGCATTTGTGTATTGTGTGACAAGCCCAATACGTTATATCCCCAAGGAAGTTGAGAAAATTTCCAACCCGAAAGATGTTCTAGTCTGGACTGCGAAATGAATCCGCTGCCTATGGCTTGGTAATACCGTGATTTACTGACTAGGCTGAGACTCCTAGAACGTCAAAATGGACTTATTTATATGACTGATAAATTGGCGGCGCCGATATGGTGTAGTGGTAAGCGTGGTTGCCTATCACCCCAAAAGGGCTGGGTTTGTCCATGAGTTGATGGGTCGAAGGCCAGGGTCCAGGTGCGGGAACTGCCTCCCTGGTGTCGGTAGCATTAGTACTAAGTACGGAAAACCAGATCGACGGAAAACAAATCAGCTTAAGTCGCAGACGTGGCTTCTTCCGCAAATATATCTAAAATGAAAAATCGCTCATGCAAACCAGGGGAAGATCTATCCGATATGAATGGTGGCTTACGATTTACATGGATAGACTTTGAATTATAAGAAAAGCCATAGTTAATGTTTGAAACTTAGGTCCTTAAGAATGCTCAGTGGACAATTGATCTTAAAATGGCAAAATTATTTATAATATGAGCATTTTAATGAAAAGAATGCACTTTAAAATACAAACATTTAATTCTCTTCGTTATTTTCATTCTCTCTTTGAACTTTATAGATCCACAGTGGATTAATCTTCAGTGGCAAGTTTTGCTTTTGTTCTGGAATATACATATTTCCTTCAAATTTTAAATTTGAACAAGTTTTTGAGATTTTGGACTGAAATGTTATAATACTTTCAATACTGTTAAAAAATAGTGAAATTCCTTGCACAGGACTTCATTTCAAGAGAGTTCTGGGGAAAAAATCAAGGGAGCTCTAAGAAATACATCAAGTGCAATCTGCTTTCAATGTAGTTTTGAGTACAATTTCAAGAAAGCCCTGGATTGAATTCAAAGAAAATTTTCATGAAAACCCATAGGAATTTCTTAGGAGCAGAGCTCCCATGAGCTGCAGACGATATTTCCAAGGGCATTCTGAGGATTATTTCATGAAGTTTGTGGGAGAAAATGAATCCGGAGCATAAATCCTTGAGATTTTTGTTTATAGAATACTTAGGGAGTGACGGGGATGCTAAAAGGAGACAATTACATCTGAAAATAACTCCAGGACATCTTCAAAGGCATTCGGAAATGAATTCCAGGAGTGTCTGCCAATCAAATTATGAGGAGAAATCTAAGGATGTGAGTAGAAATGCAAATGGATTGTTAGGAGACTTCCAATGTGAGTAGAAATTCCATGGGAAGGAGTGATATTCAAAAGCGAATCTGAGCTGCATTTAATAAACATTCTGAGAATCTTTGCAAAGGGGTTTTACTGAGGAGAATTTGAAGGTAATTCCAAGGGAAATTCAAAATTTATAATAAATTCGGAGTATAGTTCCTACGATATTTTGAGGAATATTCAATGAAAATGCGAGAAGTATTCTGAATATATTCTGGTAATATTTTTTTTTTAGAGAATTCAGTGAAGCGTTCCAAATGAAATTCTAGAATATTTAATAATAAGAATTTCGGGAGACTACGAAGTGAATGCTGAGGAGAATTCTTAGTGAATTTTTACGAGAAATCTTTGTTGAATATGGAATGGAAAATTTAAAGTCTTCAGAACTACTTGAAAGTGCCCAAAATTTTCCTAATGTTAATAAAACGGCCTTGAAGTTATTTTGTATTTTGAGAAACTAATCTGATGCTCACAATACTTTTCATAACATTTAGAAACTTAACTGAACTTTTTCGGTCTTCCAAAAGTTTTCTCTGTTTTCATAACAATCATGGTTCTTGTCGAAAGGTTCCCTGAAGTTCTCGAAACTTCATTAACATTTATGTATTTTATCTAATGTTAACGCAACCGCTCTGAGGTTCTCTGTTCTTTCGTGAAGTTCTCGGAACTTATCTAAAGTTTTTGCAGTTTACATTTAGTTGTAAAGGGTGTTCCACATCAATGCATCACGGAAATTTTTTTGTAGAAAATTACCTAGTTGACCGATCCTTTTCAAACTTTCAGAGAATGAAATATAACCCATTAGTAAGCTTGTGGCATATTTATTTCATTTTTTTTCTATTGAAGATTTCCGTTCTCCTTTGAAATATATGAAATTCTCGAGAACATCTTTAAACTTCCTTGAAATTCTGTGGACTTCTATGCAGGTCCTTAAATATTTCTGAAGTTTTCGTAAATGCTCTGAAGGTCTCTGTACTTCTCTGAAATGCTCGGCACAAATTTTCACTATCTTGAATTTGTTTATGGATTACGAAACTTCCAGCCATTGCATATTTTGAGATCTTGGACTTTATAAAATTAAGTAAGTGTTGAACTTCATCATGCAATGGATTTGATTGTAAAGCTGTTTCTTAAAAACTAATTGTCATGTCATAAAAACGTAGCATATTTTAAACGCATTTAAAAACTAGCTTTCTTGTTATCCATTAATGTTCTGAAGAAACTTGTGAAATTCAGCGAATTTTATTTAGTCAAATGAGAAGACTTGTTATGTTTTACAAGAAGCACAAAACTTTCGAATTGTCCGAAAATTAGGAAAAAAATATGCATAAGCTTGACTATCAGATCCTACACACTGCCAGAAGAATGATCAATCTTGAAATAAATTTATGCTAAAAAAGTTAAAAATAATGACTAATTACAAGAGAAGGTGACTTAAGGGATTTGCCCTAAAAATGAGACTTTTTAGTGACTGATTGGAAAAAATGTAACCAAGTCAGTAAAAAGTGGCTCGCTGCTTGCATCACAATATTGCAGAAGCTTTCAAAAGCCCACAACAATCCAGATAACAGACATGAGATTCTATGAATGTTCTTATGGTCAAGGCATTTTTTTGAAGTTGAAATTATATTAAATTAGGCGTAGCAAAATTGGCTGTTTTTCTTTGAGCGTTTAATTTGATGTTGTTCAGTGTGCAGTGAGAAAATGTACCTTTCTGTTTTGCATTTTATTATGCCACCTAAGATTTTGACTACAACTTTGAATAATGGTGAGGACGACTCGGTAAGACCGCCATCCTAAGCAATAATTTTAGTAACTCAAAATGAGTAAGAAATTTCAAATTTCGATATGGTACATATGAGTAAACGTTTATTTAGCTATGAACATAAATTATACATTCTGATTTATCACATTATTTTTATCTAAATTGATTGATGAGCATTTTAGTAGAATAATTGTATTCCTTATTACGTTGTATTTCCTTTTAATTCTGGAATTATTGTATCACTTTCACTTTCAGTAATTCACTATCACTTTCAAGTCAATGGCTAGACACTGTAGAAAAACGTATCTGTTATAGTATTTTAAGGTGCAAGTGAAAGTTAATTGTGAATTAGTGAAAGTGAAAGTTATGCAATAGTAGTAGAATTAAAAAGAAAAAACAACGTAATAGGGTATACTTTTTTTTATGTTTTTTCAACATCGTTTAAAAAAGACGGGGTAAGAACGACCACCAACCGGGTAAGACGCGCCATTATAAGTTTTTCGGATTTCATTGGATGTTAAACAAATTTGTTGTGCGTGTATGACACTAATGCATAGGATATAATAAATCCG